GATATGAACATGTTATTGTCATTGAAGCACAATAATGAGTAAGATTATATTGTGAAGTGACAATTTTTTAAAATCTGTTTTTTTGTTTTTTTTTTTATCATAAATTGTAAAATTCATTCTGGTGCAAGAATGTAGTGCAATTACATGTAATACAGTAAGAATTGCAGTTTCTTTTAAATTTCTAATATATATTCATTGGCTGTTTTATTCTGAATGCTGGAAAATAGCACACAAATGGAAGGAATTTTTTGGGATGAAAATATCTCTTAGCCAATTGCGCCCTACCTAGTCTGTATCATTTAGAAAATAGCTTGGCATAGTGAAGAGATAAAATCCAAAAATCAAATAGTCTGTTGCTGTGACACGTTCTTTAGATGACAAACAAACAAGTAATTGCATAATTAAAAGTAGATGATTCCATTCCAGGGAGCTGTCCCAGGACAGAAGACAGTTTGGGGAAACCCACATGAGCACTTAAACTTCTCATAGAGCTTCTTTGATTGCATTCCTCTCTGTGAGCTGTTGTGCTGTATATGTGTGTGGTCTCTTACTCAGATTATGGGAGACAAACACTTTGGCTGTTCTTCTGAGTCTCCTCCGGCACTTGACAAAGTGAGCCATGCATTTCTTTTTCACACCATCCATTCTCGTTGCTAGGAGACTGGTTGATCTTTTTTCTTGACCCAGCTCACTTCTTGTTATTCTTTTCTCTTTCTGAATCATACTGTGCTCCTTTCCTGTAATATTAATAAATGACACTTAATTATATCCATGAATGAATAGGTTTATATAAAGATGACATAACAGTAGGACTCTCGCAGCATTAAAACTGAAGGTTTGCCATTTTACTGGCAAGTGCTTCTCATTATTCCTTTTTTTTCCCCAATGAAGGACATACAAAAGTTAGAAATGTGCCAGGACTGAATCATTATTGATCCCATGGAGGGAAGTATTTGCATCTATACTGGGAACATGGTCGTATTTCTATTTTCTTCATCTTATTCAAAGCTATGTAGAAGTTCACTGTATACAGTGATCCACCTTATTGTTCAACCATGGCTTTGAATCTCAAACATTTAAGTTACAAATTACATTACAAAAGCTACAAGATAGAGGTACCATAACTGTGATTTTAGTTTAGTAAATGGTTCTTTAGTTTAGATTTCTCTAGTTTTTGCTCTACAAGTTGCAGACTTTAAATGTCATTTATGTACTTCCTTTATTTCTATATTGATGTTTCAACTTGGGTGGCATGAATATAGCCAAAAGGATAAGCACAATTGTCTTGATCAATATTGTAATCACAATTGTCATGATTGTTCTTTGATTTTAGGGACAAAATACATTTTTTTCCACTTTTACATTCATATAAAAGAAATGCTGCTGTTAAGTCCATGTTGTGCTATTACTGCAAATGTACAAATCTTTGCTTCAAAATAAGACTTATAATGAGGTTCTTTCATACCTGAATTCAGAACCTATTCTAGAGGCAAAATATAAATAAAATTATATCCAAGATAACTGCTTATTGATAGACACTGTGAGTTACTGGTGTTTCATAAAAGCCAAGATAGATGCTTGTTAGGGAGCTGTACACAAAGTCTCCAGTCTCTCCACTCTGCATGCATGCAGCTTAAATTGTGTGACCAAAAATTACTTTGAAAAGACTGAAATAAGGCATCCTGTGAAATTTATTAACGTTGAAATGAAGAGATTTGATTCATTGGGCTGTTTCCTATTAGTGTAGCGCATTTTAAACATATATATTGCGGAAGATCATGTAATTGTGGGACGCCAAAATCAAGATTGTGATTATTATTTGGTTAATTTGCAGCCCTAGTTCCAATTAAATGTGCTGTGGCCCAGCCAGCTACTACTTTAGACCCTTGACTTTCCTCAGCTCAACCTTTCTTTCCTCCCACATTATATCCATTGTTTTGAGTCAGTGATTCCAGTTAGCACAGTACATGAAAATTACATTCTTATAGCACTGAAGCTATAGCTCTAAGGTGTGAAGGTGTACTCTTGTAAAACACATAGAAGACTTTTTAAGTTCCCTTTTACTAGTCTCCACTCTCACTCACTCTGTCGCACACACACATGCACACACACATGCACAGTGGTCATATAAAAAGCTGCCATTCCTAAAAGATGGTAGTTTCTGACCAAGAGCAAATGGATGGTCAGGAAATGTCAACAGTGTGGTCGGTCTGATTGAACAGTTGGTCGAGCTTAAATCCTGAGTGAATGTGACTGCATCTGCTGCATGCATTCTCTGAGGCTAAGCATTGTATGCAGCTCTGCAGTAGGTTACACTGTTTGACAGTTCGGTTTGACTACTTGCATTATTTTCAAACTAGTGCATTATAAGCATTGTTTTAGATTGTATGGTAAAATAATATTTATGATTCATTTTGAAAGCCCACAGCTAGATAGTAGTTTATCTTTATATCATTCATGTGGTGTCAGTAGCCTTAATAATGACTTGATAGTTTAGTTACAGCATGTATTCTAGCATTTTAAATTAGATCAGCATAAGGAAGTGGCAAAAAAGACTGACTTAAGCTTATTACATTAACTTTGTGATGACCAATCTGCCACTGTGAGACTACTCTGCTCACCAGCAGCCATCTGCACATTGGAGCACTGAAAATATGGGACGAGGCAGGATTTACCTCATATCATGCAGAGTTAATTGCTGACATTGCTGTGAGATGCAGGGTATGAGTACCTCCTCGCTGACGTCTATCCCTTTTTTCTTTTCCTTTTTTTTTTTAGCAACGATGACACTTGTCTGTTGAACTCCGACATACACAGCACTTTGACAGTCTAGGAAAAAGTAACACAAAAAATGTACACCGAGGCAGGAGTTGTTTCAAAGGGAAGATGTTTTTGAACACTCATCCTTAACGTCTCCACTGACATGCGGTAGCACACTGTGAGCCTGCTCCTCCCCACGGGCAGCCATCTGGAAGAGTAGGGAAGAATGGAGGTATGCGGGGAGAGGAACATCTGGTCTTCTCTGAGTTTGCACAGACAGGAAATATAATGGATGGGAGATTTACACCCAGCTAGGCACAGATACTGCACCTATACTTTTGTTTTTATAGGCGTGCAAAAGTGGTCAGTTATTATGTACCTCACACTAAATTATTTGTTTGTCATACTTAATGATGGCCTATCAAATCTGTGATGGAGTCACACTGATGAATCAGATCGCTGTTTCATAACCAATGCACAGATCAGAGCAGCATCTACCTAGTCTGTAGCATTATTTGCTATGATCTACTAATACGTACTGTGTTGATAATGGATTTCTGTATGCATTACACTGTGTTGCTTATAGTGTATGATTATCAACAACATCAAGCTTAACTGCTGCTTTTATGCTCTTTGTGGCTGTTAATCGTATCCAAAGTCATTGTCGTGGCTGTTATTTTAAATGGCATGGGTGGTCTCAAGTGGGATTATCTAGCTATATTTCCTCATCACAAAGCTGATTCAACACAACAGTTAATGTTTTGCATTGAACTCACTTGTAGCTCCCATATGTAGTACTGTAGGATGCTCAGTAGAAACATCTCAGTAATACCACATCTTGTGCTTGATGATAAATCCTGACATGGCTACTGCAATGGATGGGACTAATGTTAGTTTATATGGTAATGTTTAAAATGGAATTGCATAAATGTAACTGTTTCCCTTGTGTGTCTGCACTATTCCTGCAAATCTCGGACTTAATGTCCTTCTCTGGTCGTTGTTTTAACCCCTAAAACTTTATCTCTGATTAAAAGTTACATATTTAGAATTTTTTTCATTATTATAATCCCTCCCTGCCAAAAAATAGGTTTAAGTTAGTTGATTGAAAAATATAACGGTATAAATATAGGGCGGCTACAAATAAGTATATAATGGTCAAGCAATTTGCTGGGATACATTTTATGCTGCATAGAATATAGCTTAGATTAATGCCTGTGAACCATACCGAGGGATAGACTTCATATCATGTTGTTCTAAATAAGAGCTGCATCTATACTGCTGTGCTCTGCTTTTACCAAATGTGCATGACATAATGCTGACATGTGTCTAGGCTGTGCAGTGACCCGTCAAGTTTAAGTGGATCTGTTGCTGCATCAGGTCTGCAGAGGATTTTACCTTACTATTGCCGTTTAGCAGTATACTTAGGCACACAGGAGTGCAGCCTCAGGCATAATAAATCTGTACACACACACACACACACACACACAATAGAGAGGCTAGGGAAATGGCCCACACAGGATACAGACACAAATTATCGCTCACCTTTACATCTACATTAGCATTCTCATGCAAATGTGACCACAGCTTGTTTTATATATAGCACAAATTTACATGTATGTTTGCTCACAAAGAATATACTGACAAATAAAAGTCACACTTCCAGTCCTACTTCATAGAAACCCAACCAGATACACAACCTGGCAACACAAATATGCACACTTTTTTTTTTTCGCACTCTCTCCTGCACACGTATAATATTGACACCGAAGGAATTTCAAGCAGCTCCTTAATCCAAGCAAGTGCTGACTGAGGCTTAGATTGGATGGAAGAAGAACGAAAGATGTTTAGATGTGCAGGTGAGAGGGCAAAGGGGTTTAACGATGGGTAGAGAAAGGAGAGGAGGAAAAAGTTAACATCAAAGAATGGGATTTTTCCTGAAAATACTGCTGCTTTCCAGGTATTCAGTTGTTAAAAAAGGCAACTTTTTTGTTCTGCCTCTGCACTGTGAATCTTTCAGGAAACTTTGGCCTCGTGTTTGCTGTATTCCTTATAATGAGGAGTTATTTTTCTATATTTTTCTTTTCTTTTTTGCCTCACAAACCAATGCACAATACCAGTGTTCTGCATGGCTGCATATAGTCTCTGTCATCTTCTGTTAGTATGTTGTGCATATGAATACATAGTTTGCTGCTGGTTTCTTTAATTTGTTCTTCTGACTTTTTTTTTAAACCATTCTGCAGGTATGACTACAGAGAGATGCTGTACAACTCTACATTCTGTCTGGTACCTCGAGGACGACGGCTGGGTTCCTTTCGCTTCTTAGAGGCCTTGCAGGTCAGTAACACAAATACAGATGTTGGTTGTTACTGTGAGGCAGAATTCTTATTAAGTCTGAATTTACGTCTGAATTGGTTATTGTGAGCATATTGTAGTACTGGAGAAAATGCGATGTAGCTGCGACATTATCAGTTTGATTCCTCTAAAAGAAAATAATTTATGCATTTTATGAAGGAATTATTGCAAAATTCTAACTCAAATGATCCCAATCAAAGACTGATCTTATCGTTTTCTAGTTTCTAAAAAGCTTAGCTCAATAAGGTGCATTTTGGCAACTTGGATGCGCAGCTGAACAGACAATGACCAAACACAAGTTGAACCCTTCCTGGAAATCTTGTAGTGCATCAGCCCCAGAGCTGTGTGACCAAACAATAAAGCCATTAATCAGTGCTCGAGAATGGGAAAAAGTGAAGTACTGATTTAGTTCGAATTGCTCTCTCACCCACTGCCAGTCATTTTGTTATTGTGCAGCCAGTGTTGCTGCAGCTGCCTCTGAGTCAGTCTTACTGCTGTCCCTGCCATCTTGTTTCTCTTTTTCCTTCTATCTTTTCAATTCTGGTTCTGCTTTCTCCTATTCCTTTGACTTTCTTTGCCCACCTACTTGAATCTTCTACTCTGTTCTTTCCTCTCGTGTTTTCAAAACTTGCATCATATCGGTTAAATCATAGATTCATCTGTTATATATTAATCGTATCTGTGCATGACTACACAGACTGGAAATACTACACTTACTGTTTGTGCGTTTTAGGGAGTGTCCCTAATTCATCCCTATCTCACTAATTGTCTTATTTGCACAATCTGTCTACTCCCTTTAGGTTTAACCTTCTTTAGTGGCTTAAGAGGATATATTTAAACCTTCCCCAAGTTTATTTGAATTTGCGGTTTCACCTGATGAACAGTTTCACTGAAGAGAATCTGCCTTCCAAAGCTTTTTATTCACTGTGAGAACAGAATAGGGCTTCTTGAATTGCCCTTGGGCAGGGTGTAACTACAAGGCATGTCACATTTCAAGGACTGTTTTTTCTTCTGTAACAAAAGTTTCTTTACGTATTTCTAATGTTCTTCGTGGCTCACGGGAGAAGGTTTTATATGTATGTCTGTAAACTGACAAACTTCTAAAAGTTATCAGTCTGTATTAGATTTTTATTCAGATCAGGTCAGAGGTCTGGATCAATTGGTAATGAAAAAACAACAATTAATTAACTAATTTACACTTCTTAAGCAGCATCAAAATAGTTCAAGAAATGGCATCAGTTTCATCTGTGTAAGTAAAATTGTATTTACATAATACCCTTTTTTTAACAAAGTTACCAAGTTCTGTACAGGATATACTGACAAAGAAAATTAATACACTCAAAGCAAAAAACATAAACAAGTAACAATTAAAGCAATTAACATAAAATGTAACCCCTAAATTCTAATGGGTGTTTACACCTCAAACAGCACATCTCTTATGAGCTGGGCAGCACAAAATCGAGGCAGAAACGGCTCAGCCAGCCAGCTCGTATTTGTTTTAGACATATTCTTACATTTAAGCTAGCTGTACAAAATGTGTAGAAGAGAAAACAAGACAGCAATTTATTGATCAACTGCAAATGTATTTCTAAGTATAAAACACTTGACTTCATAATGTATAGCTTTTATAGTGCAACGTATTGACTGGGTCCAGATAGACTCGCCAGTCTGTCTGTATTCAGATTTTGAAAAGCCCAACTGTACACTGTAATTACTCCCTTGTAGCAGTCTTTTAAGGAAAACAACAGGCCAATCAAGGAGGCTGTTTCAGTGATCCTGACCAGTGATTAAGATTTATGGCAGCGTTTTGAAAGCTGGGCCTCGTGACAATGCCGTAACTGAGGATTCTCTCAAGATAACGGCTGATTAATTAGAATAAATGTGGTCTAGTATTTGACTGGTTGCCCTCAGTCAGCATTTGAATGTAAAGAAAGGTTAAGCAGTTTTGCCCTTCAAATAATAATGCGGTATCTTAAGTGATTATTTACTTTTTATAAACACTTCTGCTGGCAATGCTTCAGGGTCAACTGAACTGTTAGCATATGAAGTAAATAGCATGTCACATCTTGGATACATTGATGATACATATTACATATGTGATGAAGAGATCAAGTATATGAAACATAAATTACTGGTTTGTTGAATGTGACATCCTACAGTTGCAGGACGCTGAAGGACTGATTTAAACATTGTATAAAGACTGATAATAAACATCAGAGTGAAAAGGTCAACTTCCTTTTTGCCTTCTCACATCGTGAGCACCAGTGTGAGAACATATCTACATATCTACACACACACACACACACACACACACACAAGTGTTTTAAAGAACATATGTAGGAAGGGGATTTGACGTTGCCCTGTTGTGTGATTAGATTTGAGATATTTGCCTTCAGATAACAGCTTTTTTTCTTCTTTGGTGGCTGACTGTAGATTTGAGTGCAAAGGACAAAAAGGAGTCAATATTTATGTGATCAAAAAATCAAAACAAGTCAAAGCCGTGGTGTTTTCTTTGTGTGCAAGTTATGCTTGTGTCAACTATTGTAAGCAGTAGTCCAGAGAAATAAAAAGAAAAAGAGATGTTTCTGAAGAAGAATAATGACTTTTGAGTTTACTACAGGAGATGGACAGTGTCTCTGTACTGAATCGAACGGCAAAATAATTGCACCACAGGGGAGCTAAGAGTGAGGGAAGGTGAGACAGTGGGCTGATGACCTGATCTACACAGAAAGCAGGAGGAAGCAGTGAAACTGCATTTGAGTTAGCATGCAGAAGATGGCTATGGTGTAAGGTTGGACAACGGCCTGGAGGTATTAGTGTGTCTATCAGCTCACAGCCTTATACTGGAAGCACAGAAGTTGGGTAGAGCTGACAGACACTAGAGAATTAAGGAAGGCAAACAGGCTGTGGTATGATATGCTGCTGCAATGGCTAAACTGAGTATTCCTAATGGCCAGAAAGGAAGCAGTGCAGTAGTCAGGAGTGTAGATGTATGCGTTATTGAACCTAGTGCTGTGTTGTTGAGCAGAGGTGGACTCATTCAGCAGGTAATATAAAGCACAATGTAGAATCATGTAGAATCATGTTCAGTGCAGGTATCATGTGACAAATATAAAGCTGTTGTTGCAGTAAGATTCTCTTTACATGTGTACTTGCAAAATGCAGAGAGTTCCTAGCACTGACTATTAATAATGGCCGTTCACTGTGTGCGTGTGTGCGTGCATGCGCGTGCGTGTGTGTGTAATATGCTGAGTTAGGAGAGGATTGAACCACAGGAGTCTCTAGTTGATTGCTCTGTGAGTGCAGATAAGTAGGTAAAGCATGGCAGCCTTTCAGCAGATTGCTACCTTTGCTAATGACACCAAGGAGATTAGACGAGCACTGCAGCACTCTGATGCAGGAGTGTTTGTGCCTGGACGTATGTGTGGTGACCAATCAGTGAATGGGACCCCGCTTAACAGATTATAGGGACGGTCACTGCTGGCAGAACACTGCATGTGTTATGCAGCTCCTCCAAACACACATGCACACACACACACTTAAACTCACAATACAAACGTGAATACATGTTTGCGCACTCACAAACAAAAGAGTGAATGGATTCACAAGGACATGCACAAACACACACACATTTCAGTGCAGTTTCATTAATCTCTAGTTGCAGAGGTTTAATGTTCAAGTATGTTTCAGTGTACCTGTCCTTCCTGGTACTGCAGTGGTTCTGCAGTTAGTGGAAATGTGCTGATCCTATTGTACGAATTGCATGATTTGATTAGACAGTGCTTTTTTTTTCCTTTAGATTTTTCCTTGTGTCAGTTTGTCTTCATTTTGTTGCCTGTATACATACAAATTTTAGCACAAGGATGATGTCTGTTTCCTTTAAACATGCATAATTTAAGGAGTTATTGCACTAGAAACTTCTCTACACCTCTGATTTGACACATTGACTATATGTTTGTATTAATCCCACGCTGTGGGTGTCATGAACATCACAGGTTCCGCTCTTAAAACTGTTCATCTCATTAACCAACGGCGTGTTTTGTGTTTGTGTGTGGTGTTTGGCTTGCAGGCAGCTTGTGTGCCAGTGATGCTAAGCAATGGCTGGGAGCTTCCCTTCTCAGAGATCATCGACTGGAATACGGCAGCCGTTATTGGGGATGAAAGGCTGCTGTTACAGGTATGCACAGCTTCTACTACTGCTAGAACTTAAATGTTGAAACAATATACATTCCACATCTAAATTTAGCTTGTATAATAGTATTAATACTGCTAAAAGAAAAAAGGGAAGGCTTATCTGTGCTCCACTGCCACATTACCCATTGATATCAGTTTTTTTTTGACCACAGACAGATTTCAGCAGGTCTTATCTTACAAAGGGTTGATAACACAGCAGCAGTGTGCAGGTGTTCTTTGCTTTTGCATTTTTGCCACCCAGCACATGCAAAGTAAAAATGATATTGTGTGTCTTTTGAAATCAACATTGCTGCACGGTGCATTCAAGGACATATTTTCTGTGGTTTTCCTGCATAGTTGAGGGATAATTTGTTCATTAGGACCCCTGTCTTGTCAACATTTGAGACTCACCCAGTGCATTTACGGAACTTGGCAGACTAAATGGCAGTAACCAGGGTGCAGTATTGTTTTAGTTGTGTTCTCTCCGGGTTAACATGTGCCACTTCTGTTGCAGATCCCCTCAACAGTGCGGTCTATCCACCAGGATAAGATCTTGTCCCTGAGACAGCAGACACAGTTCCTATGGGAGGCTTACTTCAACTCTGTGGAGAAGATAGTGCTGACCACACTGGAGGTACAGGCACACATTCATGTTTATACATAAAAAATACAAGCACACATGTATACTTGTATGTCTCTATATACGAATGCAGTGCGCATTTAAAACTTACTTGGCCTCTTGTGTTGCTGCTTGCAGCTTTCTCAGTATCACTGACTATCTGCTGATTCAGATGACCTCACACTCCACACTGACTGCATTATCAGACTGTCACAACCACATGTAACATTAGCTTGAGCTATTTTCTCACTCATGTATGGCTGTTACAGCAAATGGTAAAATCGTAGATGATGCGTGGTGTAAAGTTACTTTACCATAACAGCAGCAGTGCAGAAATTATTTTGCACATGGGAGTGATGAAGAAATATTTAGAAAATTAATTAATTTTAAGTGTTAATTTTTTAAAAGTTTTTAAAATTAATTTTGAGTGATACTCCTACCAGAACACGTTCCGCAACAGAACATGTTCCTAATACACTGTATCGTGCTTGGCTGGTGACAGAAAGTAAACAGGATGGTGCTGTCTGTCGCTGCAGTTTTGACAAAGCCCTCCAGGGTGCTTTCTCTTCGAGTGCTCGTGCACAACAGTTGATAAGCCAATTCTAGTCTGCAGTGCTCACAGAGCGCCATGTTGTTGTCTCTGTCTAAAACACTCCCACGCGTGAGATGATCGTTGGTTAGGTGTTTTAGCTCCCACTTTTCCTGCGCGAAAACCTATGCTTTGACCCGGCACAGCCACCATAGCGATGCGCTGTTGTCGCGATAAAATACGCTACTGCAGCCCCACTGTCGTCACCAACTGCTGTTTTATGTTTGTTTCTGGAGATACGCTCATCTAAACGACTTCAAACCCGACACTGCGTTTCTTTGGATTCCCAGCAATAAACCTGCTAAGTGTGAAGCAAAACAACACACACAATAAACGCCTTGATTCATCACTTGGATGCATATACATAAGTACTGTGTAATGTTTATTTTTTAGTCATTTTTCATGTAATTGGATTCTCTTTGTTATACACATGATTCTGTTTTGCAAAACAGAAAATCTTTGGGGAGGAAAATCTGATGCCAGTGTTCAGGATTTGCATGTTTGTGTAAAATGGCAGCAATTTGTATGCCAGTGTTTATGCACTTAAATTGAATCATTTTTAATTTTTAGAAATGCCTCTTCAATGTGAATTCTGTTTACTGGACTGAAAACTTTGCATGCTTGCACACAAACACAAGCAAGCATAAAAATACAAATACAGCTTGTGTTGTGTAAAGTCACTTAATCCTCTTCATCGTGGTTATTGAGTTTGTACTGACGTTTTACAAGTGCAGACGTAATATGTGCAATAAAAATGCTTCAGACTAGAATGAAAACCAAGAGGGATGATATATATTGCTAAACACTGCTGTCATGTTTTGAGGCTGCATCGTGCTGTGGCTTGGCTATCAATCATGTCAGTAGTTTGTTCCTGTCAGAGTCCATTTATCTGTATTCTTCCTGGTGAGGAGCAGGCTATCATTCTGCTCTTGGGCTAGAATTACAAACAGGCAAAGATGAGAGCAGGGAGGAATGGAGAGGGATGAGGGTGCAAGACAGAGAGGCAGACAGAATGTATAAAGTTGCCTCTAAGTAAGGCAGGAATTTTCGCTGCATTTTAAGTCGTTCTGTAAACATGGTTAAGATTATTGGTTGTAGCTTTAAATTCACCAGCCACCATCGCTATTTTAGGCAGCAGATGGCATGGTAAACTACCTGAATGACAGGTGAGATGGAAGAGCTTATCAAATCACCATTTTGTGTTGCATGGAAGCCTTTCTCTGACTGCAGTTTATGCCATCGGTTGCTATCCTCAGATAGTTTTACAGACGCTTCGTCCTGACGGATAGGAAGTCAGGGCACAAGAAGTTAGAGCTGGAATTTCTCTGTCAGCAGGGTAAAGTTACAGGCTCAAGAAGCTGATCTTCAGTCTGTTTACACTCTCAATATGTTCCAATGTATGCCATAGCATAACACAAGGTCAGTTGTGTGCGGGCTTCAAATGCTCTTTATAGTGAGCCAGGTATGTAACACGAAACAACCAAGCACTCTATTACCACAATATCCTACGAGAAATATAGACAGTTTATGTTGCTCTGCAGCTGCACCACAGCTCCTGAGAATGTTTTGGAATTTATGGACATTCAAACAGCTTAAATAACAAAATAAAAATGTAAAATAATGTTGGAAGGAACTGGTTAAGTCCAAAGATTTTCTAGCAGTAAATATAATCCAGAGAAGCTGATCAGACTTCAAAGCTGCTCATGTTTTCGCAGTTTTCACGGATGAGAGGCTCGGATGATTTCATTAAGCCATGCCTACCACCTGAGCCAAGAAAGACTAATTTAATTTTAGGAATTAATTGTCAGTATAGAGAATCTATGTTTGCTGTTGCTTTACATTGACACTTTACATCCAGAATCCAAATTAAATAGTTTTTCATTATTGAGCCTTGTTTTCACCTCGTGAAAGTTGCGAAGCGACTGCTGTTTCTGCCTCAGTTTATGTGTGGACTTAAATGATGAGATTTAGGGTCTTAAAAAGAACAATCATTGTATTTGCCACAGTTGAGAAGAAAAGAGAGCTTTAATGATTATATTAAAATGATTCCCCTTTAAGAAAGATAGTCAAGTTGCGCTTTATCAGTTTGTTGCTATGTGTTGAAATGTGGTGGATAGATGTAATCAAACTAACAAAACTGTAAAATTCTATATTACTGTTAAATGTATAAAATTTCAAGGTGGTGTGAACTGTGATCTGAATTCATTTAAATAGACAGAATAAAGATAGAAAACAGCACAACCAGAAATAAGCTCTCCAGATGAAAACAAAGGAAAATTAGATAATAGGATAATAGAATTTTGTTGTTTATAAGAAGACATGACAGCATAATAAAAAAATGTAAAAACGCTCATTTGTAGACTGCAGGATCCTACTTTATTTGAAGTGATTTGTTTTTTCAGATGCTAATTTGAGAAGCGCAAGAGGATCTGTGTCTGCACTCAGTATCCAAACAGCATGTTAGATAATTCTGGTTTGGTGTTAAGTGAATAGACATCTAAGATATTGACACAAAAATGAGTTCCTTTTAACTGATCTCAACAATCCACATTGGTGGTACAAAAAATAAATTCATAAAAGTTTCATTAAAGCAGCTTTATTGTGATCTTGTTTTCTGTGAGTTACGTAATAACAAGTGTTGTGAACATTTTATCGATCAGCTGACAAATGCACTGAACAGTCTGTCTTTTCTACTCCCATATCTGTGTAGATCATCCAGGACCGGGTACTGCTGCACACCTCAAGGAGCAACCTCATGTGGAACAGTCTTCCTGGAGGTCTTTTCACCCTGCCTCAGTACTCCACACACCTGAGAGACTTCCCCTTCTACTACGCTAAGCTGGGTCAGTTAATTAATCATGCACGTGGTGTATGCTAAGAGCCACGATAATGGCACGCCCTTAGCTTTATTTAGACAAATTTTCATTTACAACATCACACAGGAACAGCTGGCGTGTGGCAGCTGTTAAATGCTTGTAAACTAACACGTGAATCAGTCACAGTTTTATGCAATTTCTGTTTATTAATTCCTGTTTTGTCATTGAGAAGACCACCTATTAGACAAGCTGTATTTGCGCTTTGTTAATTGGCCAGATATGTGACTGGTTGCTGACACTGGGATTTGGGTAGCGCTTCCTTTTCAAGTCTAATTAGCTCGGTTCAGCTATGCTTGACACATAGCTTGATGTAGGTTTACACAGAACAAAACATGCACACAGCTGTCAAAATGGCATCACAAATTAAAAAAATGTCAATATTCAGTTCTTTTTAAAGATTTTAATGGAAAAGAGATGGCAGCAATGGCCCAAAAAAAGACTTTAATTTCTTAAAACCTACTTGCAAAATTTGTAACTGTAGGGTTAAGCTTTATGCTACTGCATATGAAAATGGTTCCATGTAACAGTAAATACAAATTAGAAAACTGTTCTCATACTTTAATGCTTAACTGACAAATCTGAATGTCTTCTTTTAATACCTTTTTTTCCCCCCCAGGTATCAAGCCTCACCCCAAGTTTACAGCAATCATTCATGTGGTCACCCCACTGGTCTCCCAGTCCCAGCCAGTCATGAAGCTGCTTGTGTCTGTGGCCAAATCCCAGTACTGTGCTCAGGTAATCATACTCTAAGCATACAACAATACACGACACATCTCAAGCAGTTGCGACCAGGATGATATGACCCATAATGGTTCCGACTTGATGCTAATGTGATGAAAGTAGCTCTGTGGAGCCAATTTATTAAAACCAGGAAAAATGTTTGACATCTTAAAACACTGAAAATTTCTAACACAGTATTTTAAGATGTTAAACAGCAAGCAAAGGGAGCAAAGCTGCTTTGGGTGGAAAAAGGGTTTGTTTGTCACTATGTTAATGTCATTTCGCAGGTTTAAAACATCACTGAAGTGCTGCTGTTGGCTTAAAGCTGCTTTTGAACTTCAGTGTTTTATTCATGCTGGAGAGATGAAGGGAAGCTGTCCAAATACTTTGCAAATATTCCTGCAGCAGCAGATCCACCCTCTTTCTACAGATACCTTTATGCCACACTAATGTACGCTGCTGGAAATATAGCAAACCATTACTTGCAGAACCATGTCATGTACAGCTGTTCAGCTGTCAAACCTCATAACTGCATGTAATAACTGTAATGTATGAATTCACACATAAAGCTGTTCAACATATTAGCGGTGACAGGGATGAGTTTGTACTTATGTTTTGCAGCAGGGGTTTCAATGTGCACTGTCAAGCTGTCTTTTTTCAGTGGAGATTCCTTTACACTACCCAACATTATGACCTTTTGCAAATTAACTAAAATTAGCAAGTCAGTTTTCCAGGATGTAGAACAGTACAGAGAATACAGTACGCAGTACATTTTGTTTCAGCATTTCAAGTGTGATGCTGTCATGTAGGTGGTGTGACAGCTCTGAAAATAGATATGCAGTTTCATGAGGATGTTGTTGTCTTCGACATAAATCGTGAGACGAAAAAAAAAGTCCTTTGAATTAAAGCAAAGGCCTTATTGTAGGTTTGTAGATGTCTTTCTAAACCAGACAAGTATTGTCTTTTTTTTTTTTTTACTTCTTTTTTTAAACATATTCTTCATGAGATGCACATACATTATAAGGTGTATACTGTAGGTGAATCTGAAAATGCCTCTGTTCAGAATGGTGACTAAGCGTTTACGTGTTTTCCATATGTGCAGGTGATGGTTCTGTGGAACTGCGACAAGCCTCTTCCTGCCAAGCACCGCTGGCCTGCCACCTCAGTCCCTGTTATCGTTATAGAAGGAGAAAGCAAGGTAAAAGCCATATCCATATACCTCTCTTGTTGAGTATGTTACTGCAGACATTTTGTGTCCCTCACTGGAAGCCTTGTCTTGGTGAGATAGAAAATATTATTTGACGAGAGTGTTTTGGACTCCTCAAATCATTAGATGAAAGAGTACAGGTGTAAACTCTATTATGCCCAAAATTTTGCTTTGGGCCCATTTTTAACTTTATTCAGACGCTGCAGCTTTTTCATTTAACATTCCCCACATTAGACATGTCTTATATTTCGACATAATTAATGTGACAAAACAAACATAGATAGAAAAGCTCCCACAAAGGTGAGTCCCTGCCAATCAGAAGATATTGACAGCTATAAAACAAGTCTGCTGATGAACACTCTGATGCTGTACACAATTTCTCAAGGCCACAAGAAGAAAACTGCAGAATTATCTAATATGCCAGGTATTTGACTATGATGCAGGAACTAGACAGAGATTGCAATGTAGACTTGGTTACATTGAAGTTCAGGTTCTTTTTCTTCAAGTGTTTGTTTAGCCAAAGCCTCGTGGGTTGAATGCTGATGTGGCTAACAAGGTCGTTGCTATCAGGCACAAAAACCCACACTACATTTCGATTGAAGCTGGCATTTAGATCAGTATGCACATATTTCTAAAACTGGAAACCACCTCATGAGCACTTGTTAGACAGAGTTATTTGCATAGATACATGCCAAAAAGCAGAGGCTTCAGGGCTCATCAGGGAGGGAAATGCACTCTGCTGCTTGTAGATTTCTATCTGTGGTTTCAAGCTCATCAGTAAAACGCTGTACTTGTGCTGTCATTGATGTTATGTGAGCTTGTATATGTGGCTGACACTGCTGTCATCACAGCAAGATGAAAGGACTCTCGCACAAACAGATGTGAAGAAACTGGTAGTGCTGCTTGTCAAACAGATGCACTAACTTGTGCTCATATGTTCATACATTAATAGTTGTTAGTGAACTGCACTGTAAAAGTGTTGACTCCCTTTTTTTTTCTTTTCTCTTTTTGCTTATGTATCCGCAAATCACACCAGGTGATAAGCAGCCGCTTTCTACCCTACGACACCATCCCCACTGATGCCGTGCTCAGTCTGGACGAGGACACCGTACTTTCCACCACAGAGGTCAGACTGCCAGAAAATTACATCAAATGCGTACAGTAATTTTTAATAAAGAGCACATTTTGCAGTATTTGATTTTTTGGATGCAGTTCTCTGGAATGATCTGGTTTCTTGGCCTCACGTCTCCGTCTGTCTGTCTTTGTTTCTCTGTGATCTCGATCCAGGTCGACTTTTCCTTCACAGTGTGGCAGAGTTTCCCAGACCGCATAGTTGGTTACCCAGCCCGCAGCCACTTCTGGGACAGCAACAAGGAGCGGTGGGGCTACACTTCCAAATGGACCAACGACTACTCCATGGTGCTCACTGGGGCCGCCATCTATCACAAGTACTGGCACTCTGCTCCGTTTCCATTTAGTTCAGTTTCTGCATTTTGCATTAGCAAACACTCCACTCACTCTCTCACACTTCTCCCTTAGATACTACCACTACTTGTATACCACCTACCTTCCAGCCAGTCTGAAGACCATGGTTGACCAAATGTCAAACTGCGAGGACATTCTGATGAATTTTCTGGTGTCGTCGGTGTCTAAGCTACCACCAATCAAGGTCACGCAAAAGAAACAATACAAGGAAACCATGATGGGACAGGTGAGGAGGATTATTCATCTTGCAGAAGTAGTTCATTTTATTTTATGCGTAAAGCTTCAACAGGCACAGCATTAGAGAGATTTTTGTGCAATTGTATATGATCATTCAGGGATTACTGATAGTACTGTCTGTTGTTGAAGCTGATGGCCTTTAAACACATTGCACCACTTAATCCCTGATAACATTTGCTGTCAGAGGGAAAAAAATAAAACCGCACAGTAGTCATTTGTAAATTTAAACTGAAATTTGTTTTCCAGCAATATGGCCTTCAGTAAAAAAAACAACTCATGAATACTTACAATAGGCTCTGAAAGGTCACAATAATTGGTGATGCATTATTCATATTGTTGATCTTTTTTTTCCTTTGCACCGCCTGTATCTCACCCTACCCTCTCCACTCTGTCACCTCCATCCACAGAGCTCCCGCGCTTCTCGCTGGGCTGACCCGGACCATTTCGCCCAGCGTCAGACCTGCATGAACAAGTTTGCCAACTGGTTTGGCACCATGCCCCTGGTCCATTCTCAGATGAGGCTGGATCCAGTCCTGTTCAAAGACCAGGTGTCCATATTGCGGAAGAAGTACAGGGACATCGAGAGGCTATAACCCTCCTGAGCCCCCCCGCTCTCTGGACACAACAAAGAAAGAGCGAGGGGGTGGACTTATGGAGAAGCGGAGAACCTTTCTGTGATTGCATGGATGGATCAGTGGAGAAACAAATTGGATTGGGCACAGGGAAAGACAAGGAATGAAACTTGAACAGTAGTGGAGGACACCACATTTGTCGGCCTCCTTTGTTGTCCTTCCTCCATTTCTCCTTTCTACCCCTGCTCATTATGTGTACTGGGGAATAGCGGAGCACACAGGTCCCACTATATACATCACGACTACCAACCACTGAAGGACACCTGAGGACTTTTAAAGACTCGACTTTGAACTGAAGTGGTCACGGAGTCAAAAAAAAAAAAAAGTCACAGCTTGCCGCTTCAGTGTCCCAACAGCAGCAAACCACTCCCGACTCCAAGCCGCTGACAGTGACTGTGTGTTCTGCTCTGTACACTATGCACAGGTACCTGAAAGTTTTTGTTGACAGAATATTATTGATAAATATGAAGAGGATAACACTATTTTGGATTGTGTTTAGCTATTTTTTATACAGTGAATGAATGGCCAGCACTACTCTCTCTGTATTGTCTTAATTAAAACCAATAGTAGGGTGGCTTAAGAGAGGAGTGACAGCCCCTCAACCACAGAACTGAGTTATGATCATTGATCTGACATTCACAGTGCCTCACAGATTATCTAACGGCAGTGGGATCTGAGAGTCTGAGACAAAGACATGGTGCAGAATGAGCACCTTGATCGAGCTGCTTTCTCGTTGTTGTTTTTTTCCAGGTATGTGATTTTCTGTATAATTGATGAAATTACGGATCTTGTAGTAAATTTTCAAGGTCGGCATTCGCATATGTTCCTCAACAAAACAAAAAAATAAATAAAAGCAGAATGAGATATGTTTTTATTCAGTTGAGCAAACAATTACGTGCCATTTTGAACAATTTTTCCTGGTAAAATGATAGCAGTCTCAAAGCCACCTTGCGCAGCTAGATTTGTAGAAATCCCCATAAACTGAATAGGAATGCAGAGAAAATTCTGTGAGATTCCCTGTTTCCATTTTAGCAAGAAATCTTCTCCTCGGCTCCTTTTTTTTTTCATTTGTACAGGCAAAAAACAACAAGCTAGAATCGGTACTTGAATACGTGCTGGCCTGAAGAACAATAGAGGATCATATGAGTTGCCTTGGTTATGGGAGGCTAAGCTTGCCAATGGTCTGTTTGAAACACAAACCACTGTGAAAACGAGGGCATGAATCTTTTTGGGCTGGAATATTTATATTCTGTAATTGTCTGTACGCCATAGACTCAATTTCATTTTGTCCAGTGACAAGTTTGGCAGTAGCTCAGGTTGACAGGTACTTGACATTGGCTAACATTGCTTTCATCTAGACGGTTAGAGTTTGGCTTCATATTAGGCACACTACTGTATTTTTTGCAACTATTATGAACAAATATGAGCAGACTGACGAGAATTCTAACCAAAAGATTGTTATACCCCTAAAAGGCTTTGGAAATTTTCAAATCTTGGACAATGTGCTCCAGTAAGTGATTATTCTTATTTGTGGTATTTCTTTAGCTTAAAATTCAAAGCCTTTTGGTATTTCTGATGACGACAGATGTAAATAGCCATCACAATATCAGATTGACTGGGCCACATTCAGGAAGCAGATGTTAAACACATGTTTCGTAATGCGGTATGTCTCCTAAATTCCATCTTTATCACTTTCTATATAGTGGTTGAAATCTGAGAGACATATCTCATTTGCTGCAAATCTGTACATTGATTGCCAAATGTCATTGGAACATGAAATTAGGCTTTTATGCTGCATGGGTCAACAGGTTAAATGACTGACTTTTTTATGTTGATATATCATATCATAGTATCTAAAAATGTTGTAAATCAATGACTCTAGAATGGACACGGTTTTGAAATCACTACATGATCAAGTTAAAGTTCAACACACTGCCCTTAAATTGTAAATTTAGCAACATTTCTACAGCGATCTAATCACACAAACCCTCACACATGCTTTGGTAGCATCAGCTTCTTCTTTTTTTTTTTTTAGCAGAAAATAAAGCAAATCATTGTTTCTTTAAGCCCTGCAGTCCTTCACAGACCATACTATGTGCCAATAGAGCATTCATGGTTTTGTTTCTTGTTTTCATCTGATATGTGGAATTCCATGCATTCCCATATTTATGTGGTTCATTAAATATTTTCTGTCTATATAGGAACGAGAGAGAGAGGGAGAGTGAAAAAGGGAGGAAAGAGTTTATGTGTGAGAGGCTGAGAACACGGCACAGAAGGCTGCTGCATTGTATTTTTCCCTTCTGAGAATGTGCTATCAGTTTGACAGCAAATAAACAGTCCTAGTATAACTACTAAACATAGTGCTATCAAGACAACTGAATATGGTCGTGAACAGTATCACATTTCAGAAATGAACTTGGTGCAATATTTAAGCTGGCATTTTCTCTATCTTTTTCTTTTCTCTTCCCTTGTGTTAATGTTTCAGAGGGCAGGAGGTTATAAATTGATGTGCCTTCAGAAGAAATACACTTACATTTTCTTTTTAAATGCTTTGTTCAAGAAACAGGTCCCTATTTTCATTTCATAGGAGTTTTGTGTTTTCTTTATCAACATCCAGTAACTCATAATGGCACCCTAATTTATATTGTTTAACACTGGAATGCTATTAAGACTTACCACCATACATCTGATACTAACATTCCTGCCTTTTCTGTTATAGGAACGTTTTTCAAAGTCTTGTCCTGACATACATACTGCCTTGTATTACTGTACTTGCGAGCTCCCAAAAGCCCCCTCTTCCTGGTTGTCACAACTACAGTAATACATGTAATATACATATAATTCTCACACGCGCAGTATATATCAGACAGGATTGTGTCTCGAATGAATCTTTGCCTGCTTCCTTTACTCTCTTCTGTAACTGCAGACCTAATTTTATAGAGATTAAAATGGAAAGATAGAGGAAAAATCACAATTTTGTAAATGAATTTTATAGAAACAAATTGAAAAAAAAATCAACAAATAAAATGTTTGATATAAGTTGACTGTCTCTTGTGAGTGTGTTTCGGTCTTGAGCTTGAATTTTGTTTGGCTACTACAATTACATAAAGCTGACGGTGTGCTTTGCAGCACGTACTTACCTGGATATATGTACTGCAGAGTTCCATTTGCTCCATTTTACCTTGTCATCCCTCTTCCCCTCTGACCTGCCCGCAACCCAATTTCCAGGCATCCCAAACATATTTTGCGTGTTAGGTTTTATGCACTGCACCCACTGAGAGAGAGCCAAACTAAATAATACCTTTAGCTTCCTCCTCGTGCGTGTGTGAACTTCATCCTATGCCAAGAAACTGCAGTGTTTACATAAATCTGTGTCAGGATGATTGGTTTAGACACGCTGCATAAATAACAGCATCTATCCAGGATGATCCCATGGTGCTCGAGAGCTGCCAACTCAGCTGGAGCAACAGCTACAGGAGAAATTGCTACCCCCAAAACACGCACAGACACAAAACTGGGCAAAACTCATGAAGCAAAAAGATCCGCAGCATCTGAAAGCTGGACGAATGCCTGCTCAGGATGAATTATGTTGTCTTTCGCCAAAAGGAAAACCATTTGGACGGTCACGCCAAGACCACATCCACTCTGCACGGTGCGTTCCAAATCAGACAAAAAACAAAAATCATACAAGATCCAGATGTTTAGTGAGTGGAAATACGTGATTTTCGATAAACCAGGGAGTGAAACTTCACAGAGGTTGCCGCTGGAGATTTCCACTGCACACAGGGGGGGCCTATCCAATGCCAAAAGTGTTCTTGTATGATTTAATGGGATGCAAATTAGTTAGACTTCTCTTAATCCTATTGATGAGATGTGTATCTGCAGTGGAGATGGATCTCAGTTTGCAGGCAGCCAGGACTCTTCCCTGCTGTTGGATTAAGCACCATGACTCAGAGCCAAATTTGAGAGAAGCCCCTCCTTTTCTATCATCTTTTCATCAGATATCGCTGCACAGCGCTAAGTGAAACGTTTGAAGATGCACTCAGTCTTGTGAAAGAGTAGAAAGATTTTTTTATTTTTTTCCTTCTGCATTTGGTCTCATAACTTATACTGATTTCTATAGATTTGGATCAGAAGTTACTTTCTCGGTATGCGGGAAATTATGTTGTCATGGTGACATCTGTTTGAATTGACTTCATTTTGAGCACTGCAACTGAAAACACACCACATGATAAATTATTTTGTCACCACATGTTCCCTCGGTGCATTTTGCAATGTAGTTTGAAGCATGACGGCCTGAATTTAGGAGGAAAAATGTCTCATTCTCTGTAACAATCTTTTTGCAGTAGATAGATAGATAGATAGATAGATAGATAGATAGATAGATAGATAGATAGATAGATAGATAGATAGATAGATAGATAGATAGATAGATAGAT